CTATACCCCAGTGTTATTAGGTAAAGCCTATACCCCCAGTGTTATTGGTAGCCTATACCCCAGTGTTATTGGTAGCCTATACCCCAGTGTTATTGGTATCCTATACCCCAGTGTTATTGGTAGCCTATACCCCAGTGTTATTGGTAGCCTATACCCCAGTGTTATTGGTAGCCTATACCCCAGTGTTATTGGTAGCCTATACCCCAGTGTTATTGGTAGCCTATACCCCAGTGTTATTGGTAGCCTATACCCCAGTGTTATTGGCAGTCTATACCCCAGTGTTATTGGTAGCCTATACCCCAGTGTTATTGGTAGCCTATACCCCAGTGTTATTGGTAGCCTATACCCCAGTGTTATTGGCAGTCTATACCCCAGTGTTATTGGTAGCCTATACCCCAGTGTTATTGGTAGCCTATACCCCAGTGTTATTGGTAGCCTATACCCCAGTGTTATTGGTAGCCTATACCCCAGTGTTATTGGTAGCCTATACCCCAGTGTTATTGGTAGCCTATACCCCAGTGTTATTGGTAGCCTATACCCCAGTGTTATTGGTAGCCTATACCCCAGTGTTATTGGTAGCCTATACCCCAGTGTTATTGGTAGCCTATACCCCAGTGTTATTGGTAGCCTATACCCCAGTGTTATTGGTAGCCTATACCCCAGTGTTATTGGTAGCCTATACCCCAGTGTTATTGGTAACCTATACCCCAGTGTTATTGGCAGCCTGTGTCATTGGTAGAATAGAATATGCTACTATCACTGAAAAGAAAGTTTGTAATTTTTGGGGGGTTATCTTGTTACATGACCAGTGTCAGCTGATTATAATTCGCTGTGATTCCTCTGTTTTAAAAACTGCATGCATTGTAATTTTTACTACTACAACATTTCACAATATTCCCTGATTGGTGAACCCTGATTCGTCTCTTACGATATTAAAGCAATTGACAGTATTTAGTAACAATGAATCATTCAAAATAAATCACATTTTACCCAAGATATGTCCTCCTAGAACTGTAAATTTTGCGGTCCTGGTTATCCACATTTTCTCATCCACATTTTCAGGTATTATTGGCATTTTCAGGAGGACACAGCTCTAGTGCATTATTACATCTAGTGAAAGCGGTATGTACGATATTTGTTTCCTTGCAGTGCCAAACTTATAAAGTTGTAGATTATGCCTAGAGAAATATGAGTAAAACAATTCATCATTGTACTTTTCTCTCAACCAACTCTATTGTGATATATATGGGAAATATGCGTGATATATCTTTTTAAAGAAATGAATTTCTCGTTTCACGCTTGTTGTATGTATTAACTAGTATGTCACAAGGCACTGAAACAATTCACTGTCAATCTTTCAGGGTCTTGAAGAGGAAATGCACAAAAGATTGAGATTTCATTCGGGTATTGTTTATATCGATGGTGAGTGAAATGTAAACTTATATTATCAGTAGTTTTAATTTAATATCCCATATTATTACATGTAACCATACTGATATTTCATGTAACCATACTGATTTTAAAAGTAACCATACTGATATTACATGTAACCACACTGATGTTACATGTAACCACACCGATATTACATGTAACCACACTGATATTATATTTAACCACACTGATATTACATGTAACCACACTGATATTATATTTAACCACACTGATATTACATGTAACCACACCGATATTACATGTAACCACACTGATATTATATTTAACCACACTGATATTACATGTAACCACACCGATATTACATGTAACCACACTGATATTATATTTAACCACACTGATATTACATGTAACCACACTGATATTATATTTAACCACACTGATATTATATGTAACCACACTGATATTACACGTAACCACACTGATATTACATGTAACCACACCGATATTACATGTAACCACACTGATATTACATGTAAACATACTGACCTTACATGTAACCACACTGATATTATATTTAACCACACTGATATTACATGTAATCACACCGATATTACATGTAACCACACTGCTATTATATTTAACCACACTGATATTACATGTAACCACACTGATATTACATGTAACCACACTGATATTACATGTAACCACACTGATATTACATGTAAACATACTGACCTTACATGTAATCACACTGATATTTGTAACTTTAAAAAAAGTCAGCTGTTTCATCACCAGTCTCCTAAAAATGTGTTATTTAATCATTCTCCGGAATCAACTTTGAAAAAAACTTAGACATTCATGCATGAGGTCTTGAAAAGAGGCTTTATTAATAAAAAAAAAAAAAAAAAAAATAATATATAGTTGTATTTTCTACTTGTGGTGTGAAACCTATACTGTGTTCACAATAAATATGTTCTACACACTAGAGGGCGCTGTCACCAATAAAAATAAAGAAAAAAGATTGCAAGTTTCTGATTCAGTTCAGTCTATCATGCGACGCTACGACTTTCCCACACATATAGCAACTTTAGAACAAGTAAGTTTTTTTTCTGTTATATGTTTTGTGGATGATTGACACTTACTGTCATGATGCCCCATGGAATTTGGTTCCTTCTCTCTGAAACCATTGGATGGATAGTCACAGAATGAGTAGAAATATGTGCAAAGGAATCCCTGAAGGATATATTAGATTCTACAAATAATTTCTTCACAGACAGACAATTACACTGACTTCTGATATGTAGTAGGTTTGGTTTGTTCAATGTTATGCAAATTCAATTCATGCAAATGAATGAATTTGGGCATAATGATGATGTTCAATTTTACACTTTGAATATGAAAGTCTACTCTTGTGATCTTTCACAAAATAAACCTTTATATTTTTTGTGTTTAGTGTTTTTTAAGACTTTATTCGGTCCAAAAATAAAAAAGAAATTATGGAAAAAAAACTTTTTCAAATTTGTTGTTAAACAGCCAGAGCAACAATTCATTATTATCATACATACATGTTCACCATTCTTTCAGGTTTTTGATCTTGAGAGATCATCAGTTGATGAAAATCCTACAACTGATGTAGGGGATAGAGTTGCTATGGCGATGCCCTCATTGTCTGCAGACATGGGAGATTTAACTTTAGATAGTGTACAGACAAAAAGATTGAAATATATGTTGGCAAACACCAAGAGTGTAACAGCCAAGGAAGATCTGGTACAGATACTGAGGTAATATCATCTACAGTGTGTGTTTGTTTACACAACAGAATACTTTTCACATTTCATAAAATAAACTGGCTGAATTTGTCTACATTTTATCTAAAATGTTTATCAAATCCTATAAGCAATGGGAAATTAACTTACGAAGATAACCTGAACAAATTGCGAAAAATACGCAAAATATTGCATCAGAATTTTGATTCGAACAATTTAGGTGTTCACAGGTTTATAAAATCTTGTCTTACAGGCACCGTTTGCTCATGGATATCGCCAGACGATATGGTTATGATAAGATCATGTTAGGAGATTGTAGTACAAAACTATCTATATCAATATTAGCAGACCTAGCCAAGGGAAGAGGAGCGAGTATTCCCCTGGATACAAACTTTGCTGACCGTCGTTATGGTGATGTATTTTTTCTACGACCAATGAGGTAATTTGTTTTGTTTGTACTTTATCTCAAATGTCCCATGATGCAATGTGATTATGTCAGGTGGTTATTTGGACCAACTTCAGGTTTTCAGACAGAGAGTATTAACAGCATAAATTGATGATGGTTCCAGTGACTAAACTCGAAGACTTTCTGTCACGCTCAACTCGAATTCCTGTCATCGTCAGTTGGAGATTGCTAACTCGGTGACTCCATCTGGCCACTGCTACTGGTCTAATTCTACTGCCTAGACCATTTTTGTTCAAAGTTGCTTCAAAGACATAAAGTCATAATGGGATATATATGCACAGCAATTAGTTTTTCATTTGGTTCTCCGTTGACCAACTGGGGGCCACTTTTGTCCCAAAAAACACAACAAAATCAACATTTGAACAATTCATCAACTTTTTCTCAGGCTTGCCATGACAAATTTAATTTAAACTTTCTTTCATTTAAAGAATGTCACACATGTTGGTTTACTGATGCATATGAGTTTGTTTTGTGATTTGATTCAAACTGGTCGACTGGCGGCCATGTTGGTTTTATTTTCATGTTTCCATCATTCCTTTAGACATTTGATTGTGTGAACAACACACATGATGTTTTGTTTTGTTTATTTGTGAAATTTTAGAATTTTGTACAATACTATAAAATGACTAATTTATTGTTGATTTACCATTTCAGGCATATTCAGTGGGTTTTAAATTCATGGTTTTGTCATTTAGATAATGTGTTCTATGCTAAATTTTACATATTCACTGGTTTTAATTTAGCGCATTTTCCAGTCAGCGAAATCAGGAAAATTAAAACCCAGTGAATAATTGACCCTTTTACAGTATGAGAAAGATCTCATTCCTAGAAAGATGTCACTAAACCTGGATAAGATGCTATTTGAAGTAATATCATGCTGGATTCTCTCTTAACATTCGTTTATAAATTATCTACAACTTAAATTCTTTATATTGACACAGTCACTAAAAACTGACAATGACTTGTTCTTCATGTCCATGTAGGGAGTTCACATCTAAAGAAATTGGTATCTATAATCATTTCCACAACATTGATTCTGTTGTCATAGCATCACTAACTACTAAATGTCCGGTCAACGCTAGTATAAATCGATTAACTGAGACATTTGTAACCGGTTTGCAAGTAGATTTTCCATCAACTGTAAACACAGTATTCAGGTAAGTAGTTCCGTCTCACTAAGAATACCTGAGACAATTTACAACTTAAAATAACTGTAAAATAACATTTTTTTAGACTGGTTATCATCTCAATCTGAGTTGAAAAAAAAAAAAAATATCATTCGAGCTTGGATTTTTTCATTTTTTTTTTCAATTATATGTATCTAATTATAATAATTTTTATGTATATTTTATTTTATTATTTATTTATTTATTTGCTTTGAGTTTTTTCAAAGTTTTGGTTATTACAATAGGTTTTGATAGTTAAAATAAAATACCAATTGTTTTGTAACATGTTAATCAGGACTGGTGAAAAGTTATGTGTGACTGATTCATCTGATAACAGTCCAGTACAGTATTGTATCTTATGTCGGGTGAGTTCACTCTGGTTCTTTTTAATTATGTTTAACACCCTCCACATGGTGTATGACACAAATTCACAAAATATAGTTTATAGTCTGCACTTTCCTTCAGCAGATTGGAACAAAAATAGCCAAATTTTTTGAGTAAAAACTTAAAATTTATTCAAATTTTGTCTGTTGGCTCCAAAATTAGGGTTCAATTTGAGAAATATTGATGAAATTAAGAAAAAAGTACGGAAAATTGTTGACAATCTGGTGATGACAAAGTTAACTGAACCATTCAGAGCCACTTCTCAGACATTTGTGGATCTATTTCTTTTCAATATTGCATACAAAGTTGCGAAACATTATATCCAAAATGTTGATGACTGGTAACTGTTTTGGACTTGATAGGATGTTTAATTGTTTGTCAGAGTTGCACTAATGGCTGATAAGGTGTGACTATTGTATATTTACATTTTTAGTCCCCGTTCGGACGAAGTCCGAAAACGGGGACTTATAATTCGGTCTCCGTGTGTCCGTGTGTCCGTGCGTCCGTGCGTCCGTCCGGAGTCATATCTCAGAATCCCTTGGACCGATTCTGTTCATTCTTTGCATGTGCCTAGTACTTTATGTGGGACATATGCACATGCAGTAGTTTAGCGATTCGATTCAAAATGGCCGACTGGCAGCCATCTTGTTTTTTGCAAATGTCGTATTTTGGACATGCTTTGTCAGTTTTCATTCAAATTTAGTACATAGATCATACATGTTAGGATACATGTTCCTGACCGTCTGTGAGTTCCTGAGTTTGTCTGTCCGACCGTCTGTGTGTCCGTCTGTCCGTGTGTCAGTCTATCCAAC